TTTTTTCTCCGCCCCAAAAACTCTCCCCGCCCCCCCCCCCCCCTGTCCCCCCCCCCCCCCCCCGAGTTCTTACCTCTTGGATGTGATATTGTACTTATTCTGTTGGGAAAGCATGTGAAACACCCAATCCTGAAATGAAAGTACCAAGGGCATCATCAATACGTTCTACTGTGAGGAGGCTGGGATCTCTTTTTGGGGGATAAGAAACTGATGGAACAGGTTTGACACCCTGTGCTGGGGAAGGGAGTAAAAGCAGGAAGATATTTTGTTACCTCAGAGAGGGCAGAAGGCCACCGGGAGTATCCAGCTGATAGGTGGTACTCCGTCATCCTGGAGGGAGAGAGGCATTGGTGATAGGTCAGACTGGGACATCCACAAGGTAAGTGCTAACACAGCAGCTTCTGCCACATGCAGCCTAACTTTGCTTCATGCTGAGAGGTAAGAAGTTAAATGTCCCTGAGACTTCTTACTATAGATGCTCAAATTCTCCTCTGCCCCATATCACTGAACAGTTTCTCTAGCCAATCTAATTCTTTGGCATTAATCCATCTCTAGGAATGAGAAAAATTTTAGTTCACCTTACAACAAACTGAAACTTACTTGCAAGGTTTCCGGCATTTATGGAAACAGCCCAGAATGTCAGCTTTGAATTCAGCCTGGAGCTTGTAATAGCAGTAACCTGAGCAATGGACAAATGAGTGAAATGCAAGGTCAACATCTCTGAACAAGGAAGAGAATCTCTGGGGCATGTATGTAGGCAAGAGTAGCCCAGAAATGGGTACCCTTCCCTTGCCCCTACCTCCTTTAACATTCTGAGGGGCCTACTGTGCTAGGGAGAAAATCCCAGAGAAGAGCCCTATCAGAGGGGTGAGCAGCTTCCACGAGGGTCTGCTGGGAGATTCTAAGAGTTAAGGTTAGAATAGGTGGGTTTACAAAAGCCTGGGGTATTGCTATGTAATTCCTCCTGTCCCGTGATCACTTACCCCAGGCTATATGCTTAGTATAGTCACAGTACTCTGCTCCAGAGGGCAGGGGGTAGAAGTAATATGCACATCCACAGCATTTCACCATATTCAGCTGAAAACAGGATCGAATGCAGACCTGGAAACCATGAGAGAAGGGGAGAGCTCAAAGGAACCCAAATCCACAGACCTCACTTCAAATCCCAGTACCAAGAAAACACAGATCCCTTTGTGGCAAGTGGGGCTGAGATGGTATTCCAGAAAGGTAGGGAAAAAGCTTGCCTTGTACCAGAGGTCATGGGTTACCTGTTCAGTGTAACGGGATGAGTAGAGGTTCTGCACAGGCACATCTTTCCCATCCTCTGTGCAGTCACTGTAGCTGCCCCCAAGACGCAGAGTCATCTCCTGATGATTCAAACAATAGTTTAGCCTAAAGCATCTGATACCCAACTTCCTTTCTACCAGCTTTTAGTCCCATCTACTCCAACCAATACCTGGGTATTCCTTCCTGCTACCACTTTCTCCCTGCTTTCCCCTTTTCTATCTCTTTCCTCCACTCCTATCTCACCAATTTCCTACTGAAGGAAATCTTCCCATGTGGTTCTCCATGGAAGCCCACACCCCCTCTTCCCCATCTCAACTATTCCTTCCTCACCTTTCTCATGCTGATGGAGGTCTCTATCCCTGGACGTACATTGAAGCCCCCATCATCCATGAAAGCTGGTTCATTTTGGTTATGGACCATCACCCTGGCTCCTGTCACTGTGGACAGCAGGGGAATGAAGTCGTTCTGCTCCGTGCGCACCACCAGCGAGAGGCCTGCAGTAGTGTCAGAAAACTAAGGTGATCAGGGCCATGGAAGGCAGGGAAAACAGAGATCAAAGTTCAATGAGGGGTAACATAGAGCCAAGATAAGCTAAGAACAAGAAGGTAAGGATCTGGAACTGACAGAGACAAAGCTCACAGGAAGGGAAGAAATTGGCCACTACCAAGAGGAATAAGCCCAGCAGTGTCCCACTGTCCACAATCTCCTTCTGCCCCTCAACATCTTCTGTTGCTCTCACCATTATTGATCCCAGGCAGTGAGGATGTCCACAGGCTGCTATTGTCATCATTGAATGTGTAGCAATTTCCATAAATAGGATGATGGAAATGAGTGTAATTCCTGGAGAGAAATGGAAATGTTCAGATGAGGGGCTGTCAGGGCTCTGGAGCAGAGGCAGTATATTCTGAAAGGAACTACTCCTCCTCCCACCAGTAAGGGGCTTCAAGCACTGCAGGAGAAACATGTCTGTGGTAGGAACCAGCCCTTGGAGACAGAGCCCAAAAACTGACCCTGGCATAGCAGAATCTTTGAACTGGAGATGCCAAGACCCCAAGGGAAGAACTCAACCCCACAGTCTAAGATTATGGGAAGTAGGTGCCTGAGGACTCAACAAGGGAGAATGAATCTGACTTGTGTCCTAGTATTCCATCAGCTTTTGTATCCTGACCCAAGAGGAAGAATGCAGAGGGCTCTCAGCATGAGATATGGAAGTCCCCCCAAGTACTCACGCCTTGTCACATGTAACATCATTGAAGCGGCAAGCATAGATGAAACTCTCAAAATTAGACTCATCTAGGTCCTTAGTGCTGGGCATCCGTGCCAGAATATTGATGTAGTGGAAACTGTACCACTCTCGCACAGCATCCACGCCCGATGAGTATGTTTGGTGGAAACAGTCATCACTTTTCTCGTTGCACTGCAAGAGAAAAAGCAGCTATGTCACAGATTCCAAGTTCGTGAGGAAGGGATGAAGCAGGAGGTATATGAGCTCCCTGACTATGGATAGGGAACAAAGCAAGGTAATACTTGACAAATGCATATAATGGACATGGGAGAAAAGTCCCACAATCCAGATCCTCTGTGGAAGAGAAGCTCCTGGGCAGGAGAAAAGAGCCGAGAGTGATGGAGGAGGCAGCAAATTGCAGAGAAGTTTCCAGAGGGATAAGAAAGACCTAGCTATGGGTGTTTGTACACATGCTGGGAGGCTGCTCTGACATGCTGTAATTAACCAAGTCTGCTGGAGTGTGCTAATTGGTGTTCCCCAGCCAGTCTCCACATCTTGTCTATCATCATCCCTGTGCTTCAAAATGGTGGTTGAAGCACTTTAACTAAAGCTTGTTCAATGAGCTTTAGTTAAAGTGTCCCTGCCACCATTTTGAAGCATGGTGAAGGCACTCTGGCATTTTAATTAGAGTGGCTCTCAGAGCTGCTCTAATTAAAGCACCCCCACCCTGGAAGCACATGTAAAAACGCCCTGTGTGGTGTGTGAACAAAAGTTTTACACTCTGAAAGAGGGCATCCTTCTCCATGGGTGAGTCATAACTAGACCTTTTTTCTTCTATGAGATTCTAGTGAGCTCACTCCTCGGGTTCTTGAGGGAACAGGCTGGGACCTGAACACTCTTCCCAACTCTATCTTTCTTCAGCAATGGCTGCAACAACTTAATTGTATTCCCAGGTGGTGGTGGTGGCTGAAGCTATTGTTACAAGATAGTTCCAGCTGCCTCATCAGATCATAGAGGACAGGACCAGGAGGGAGCTAGATACCTTACCAAGAGAAAGCCAATTTTCCAGTCACTTTTATCTACAGGAGGGTTGTTCTCCTGCACAATAGCTGGGTTATCACGCTTGTGCCTCCGCAGTGGGTGTCGCTGAACATAGTGGAACAGGCTTCTGGAGCTACGTTTGTGTGTGTACTGGGCAGCCCAATCACTTTGTGCCACAGACATGTTGTAGTTGTACATGTCCATCAGTGTCTGGTGGGTGATCCGGTCCAGTTCATCCAGCTCCTTCTGAACAGCACTGTATCTATGAGGTGGATAGAAGAGACTCCCAAATCAGGGTGTGTCTGCACAAGGAACTTTCCCATCATAGTTGCACTTTGCTACAGCTACACCTGTGTAAATGCCTGTGTGGACACTATTCCAGGATAAGAGTGTTTTTGCTCTGACATAGTTACTCCATTGTTAAATAGCAGTGGAGCATGTACTCTGATTTTGTTATGCTTATGGAGACATGTACTTTATGTCTCTACCTCCTGTGCAGGAAGAAAACAAGAACATGGATATTCACCTTGATCCCACAAGGGTACAACATATGCTTGCAGGCCATGGGAGTCACTCTCGTACCTGTACGGGTTGAGGGTACACAGTGTGACAGCAGGGAAGGTCAGCCTGTCTGAGTTGAGGTTAAGGTTCAGGCTGACGGGGAAGCTGAAGTACTCCCTGTAGAGGATCCCAAACTGCCAGTACATTAGTCCAAAGGTGAGGAAGAAGAGCACAGACCAGAAGGCTGTCTTCATCTTGTTCTTCTTGGAGCACACCAGCCGGATGGCTCCGTGGATGGTTGTGTTGCTGCAGAAAAACTGGAAGAGCTCCCGGTAAGAGTTGTGGAATTCGATGAGGCCCTCATGCTTCTCTTCTGCTTTCTCTGGCACCTCCTCATGCTTTTGCTGGTGTTGTGCTCCCTGTTTGCGCTGCCTCATACTCTCCTTTTGGGGCATCTTTTCTACCTTTGCAGCTCCACCCTATGACACAGAAAGCTCAGAATCAGGCACTGTGGATACTAGCTGTGACTACCGCAACCCACCTAATATAGGAAATCTGTGCCCATGCAAAACCCTGGCTCCAGTATCCTGCCCAATACCCCAGCACCACAATACTTAAACCCTATCCCTTTATGCTATGGCACCAGCCACTCCATCCAGTGACTTCTGGCCTGCTTAAGTTCTCCAGCAGCCTGGCTTCTCAAAACATACATCCATGTCTTCCCAGCACTACGATCTCCCCAGCACTCCTCCAGCACATAATAACATTAACTTTATCACCTTGTCAAACACCCTGTTCTGTCCATACACATCACCCTCCAGAAGACTCAGACCTCTTCAAACAGACACTCAGATTGTTCCAACGCCTAGGCTTCACTGCATACAAACTGATCACTCCCAGCATTCTGGTCACTCCATATGCACAGCATTACAGCCTCTCTTCTACATACTACCACTCTCTCCAGTGTCCTGAGCTTTCCACACCCACACTGCTATTTTCCCACCATTCTGGCCATTCTACACACTCTACCAGTGCCCTGTTCTACCCACAGTCCCTCCTCCTCAACTTGGCCCTTCTACAGACACACGTGCACACTTGTGTCCTATCCAGCACTCTGCCATTTCCTCTTACAAACTGCTGATATGTCCAAGACCATGATCCATCCACACACACCATCATCCTATGCAGCAACCTGGTCCCTTCACACTCTTGGACACGTTCTCTCCCCACCATTCCAATTCCTGCCTGCTTGCACTCATCTCTCTGGTACCTCCAAGCACACCTATCCTCCCAAGCACTCTCTCACCTCTATGAACAAGCTGCCATCCAGCCCAAGCCCCCAGTCCCCCCACACACACACTCAGTGTCTGCTTCTTCCCCAAGAACTTGGCTCCTCCGGACATGCCATCCATATTTTCTTGATAATATGCCACTTCTCCCAACCTCTCTACCACTTAGTCATACTTACCCCACCCAACACTGCCCAGTCCAAACAGATACCACCCCTCCCCAGGCTCTGACCTCTCCACACACTCACCACTTGTCCTCACCAATGCCACCCTATCCATTACCCCAGCCCCTCCACCTGCTGCCCCTTGTGTCCTCCCAAAAGTGCACACCTACAGCCCCTTCTCCCCAGCAATGGCTTCTGTCCCACTCACCACCATCCTCCCTAGGGCCCGGTGCCCTCCACAGCCACACTGCTCTCCTTCCACTGCCCTCATGACCACACACTCATGCACCCACGCACACACACGCCATCCATGCATGCCCTACCAGGACCGTGCTGTCCAGATAACCCCTCCTCCCTCACCTGGCCCTCTGCAGACACCCTGTAATCCTCCTACACCAGGTGCTCTCCTCCCCCAGCACACGGTAAGCGCACATGTACGGGGCTTTCATGTACACTGACCATGTACGCACACGAAAGCTGCGCACGCACCCCCCCGCTAAGTGAATACACGCCCGCACTGAGCATGCGCACACGCCCGCGCCCCCCGACCCGCAGGACCCGGGGGTGCTGCTGCACCTTGTCTCCGGGCGCTGCGCCCCCGCTCCACTGCCCGCTCCGTGCGCCCGGCTGGGAGCCCAGCCCTGCCCGCCGCTCAGGACCGGACCGGTTTCGCTCCGGCTCCAGCTTCGGCTCCGG